AGGGAAATACAGTAAACCAGAGAGATCGGTCAAAGACAAAGAAGGCAAGCCAATCACTGAAATTCAACAACAGCGGAACAGATGCGTAGAATACTTAGAGGAGCTCCTAAATAGGCCGGCTCCAATGAATCCACCGGACATCGAAGCAGCACACACAGATCTTCCCATAGACGTCAACCCACCAACGAAGGAAGAAATCAGAATGGCCGTCAGACAAATCAAGAACGGGAAAGCAGCAGGACCCGACAACATACCAGCCGAAGCACTGTAGTCAGACATCGAAGTAACTACAAACACGCTTTACCTTCTATTCAAAAAGATTTGGGAGGAGGAACAAGTGCCGATGGACTGGAAAGAAGGACACCTCATCAATATTCCAAAGAAAAAAGATCTGAGCAAATGTGAAAACTACAAAGGCCTTACACTACTGTCAATACCAGGGAAAGTCTTTAACACAGTTTTGCTGAACCGGATGAAAGATGCAGTAGACGCCCAACTTCGAGATCAACAAGCTGGATTCCCTAAGGATCGGCCGTGCTCAGACCAAATCGCAACACTACGGATCATCGTCGAACAATCAATCGGGTGAAACTCGTCACCGTACACCAACTTCATTGATTATGAAAAAGCATTTGACAGTGTAGATAGGAGAACGTTAGGGAAACTTCTTCGTCACTACGGAGTTCCTGAGAAGATTGTCAACATTATCCGGAACTCATACGACGGACTACAGTGCAAGGTCGTGCATGGAGGACAACTGACAGATGCATTCCAAGTAAGGATCGGAGCCAAACAAGGCTGTTTACTCTCTCCCTTCCTTTTTCTCCTGGTTGTCGACTGGATTATGAAAACCTCAACATCTGAGGGAAAACACGGAATACAATGAACTGCTCACAACCAATTAGACAATTTAGACTTTGCAGATCACCTAGCCCACCCATCACATACACACGAACAAATGCAAATACAGAAAACCAGTGTAGATGCAGTCTCTGCATCAGTAGGCTTCAACATACACAAGGAGAAAACCATGGTCCTCAAATTCAAAGCGGAGAACAGCAATTCATTCACACTTGATGGCGAAACTCTGGAAGATGTAGAATCGTTCACATACCTGTGAAGAATCATCATCGATGAACAAGGAGGATCAGATGCAGACGTAAAGGAGAGGACTGGCAAGGCAAGGACAGCAATCATAAAATTGAAGAAGACATGCAACTCAAAACAACAGTCTGTCAACCAATATCAAAGTCACAATCTTCAATACGAACGTCAACACAGTCAGTTCTACTGTACGGAGCTGAAACTTCGAGAACTATTACAATCATCATCAAGTAGGTACAAGTATTTGTAAATAGCTGTCTACGCAAGATACTCGACATCCATTGACCGGATACCATCAGCAACAGCCTTCTGTGGGAGAGAACAAACCAGCTTACAACTGAAGAGGAAATTAGGAATAGGTGATGGAGTTGGTGGATAAGACATACATTATGGAAATCAACAGAGTGAATCATGAAGCAAGCACTAACGTGGAATCTTGAAGGGAAGCGGAAAAGAGGAAGGTCTAAGAACGCATTACGTCAGATAATAGAAGCAAATATGAAAAAGATTAATAGCGACTGGAATGAGCTGGAAAGGATTGCCCAGGACAGTGTTGAATTGAGAATGCTTATGAGTGGCCTATACTTCTTTTTGAGGAGTAACAGGCGTAAGTAAGTAAGTAAGAAAAATTATAAATAAGATATATCAATAAAGGAAGTCGATCAGACATATAGCCAATGTCTTAGTCTACATGTTTTTGTCTAAATTATCTACTTAAATTTCATTAGTGAATAATGGAATTAAATAAGTTAAATACAGTCAGGGAAACGAAGCGAAGGAAGCTAATAGAAGAGAGAGAGAGAAGTGAAATGACACGCAGTGGAGAAGGCGTGTGAACCAACCTGATGTATTCAAGCGTTAATTGATATTTATTGCCGAACAAAAGTAGGTTACAGACATGTGATGAATAGGATAAGACGTTTATCACATATGATCATATAAAACAGTCAAGGTTGATAAGTGAATAATTAATAAGGTCAAAACGTGGCTCAAGTTAAATGAATAATTTAATACTGTTGTCTGATTAGCAGAGTCATCCAAAATCAGCGTTGCCCTGATTTCTAACTTTTAAACCTAATGATAATCCTTGAACACATTGATATGAAATGTTTCTGTGACAACGGTCCACAGGGAAGCTGTAAGAAGCTCAGAAAGAGCTGAGGATATTCCATCCAATCACTTTTTGGAAGAAAACTTCAGAATCTCTACGTGTAGCTTCCCTATTGGATAAATGGTAATAACACAGCAATCAGCGACGACTAGATATAACAGATAGCGTTCAATCGGCAATATAATTTTTGTTTATATTCTATGAACTCTACTGCATTACAGCATCCATATATGAGTGTTTTTCCTAGCGATTCAATGTCTTAAGAATACTTCATTGATATAATCCTATTTAAAATTTTACATTATATGGTCCATGTCCTGGTTCTTGATCGAGATCGTGAACCGATTGATCCTAGACCACCATTGGAAACCTGAAAGCACTGGACGACCGTTTAGTTATATTGTTGGGCCCCTCAGCAGTGCACATCCTCGTTCACTGGTCTGATTAGTAAGGCATTTGATATTCAAAATAAACTTGAATAAATTAGTAGTATCATTTATATATTCATACCATTATCATTATTATTATCGATTTACTATATAAAAAGAGAACAATTCGTTAACTATCTACATCTTTGTATTTATGTAATTTAGTATCTTCTTGAAAGTTTTAATTCTTTGATTAAATTTTAGTCAAAGTTATTCAGATTATCTGAACTTTAACAGAACTAATCGATATATCTTTAATTCTGAGATTTAAGTCAAAAGTTATACATTTTTAGCTGTAGAAATTATTCGTGACCATCTCCTCTTCTGAATATGGTTATAACCTTTTATAGATGGTAGCTAGCAGTGGAATCTATGACGCACGTTTCGTCCTATTTTGGACTCATCAGCTGGATGTACTTACATCATAGAGTTGATGTTCACTCTGGGTCTCAAATCCCTTACAATTCACTTTAAATGCCATCGAGTTATCCACTTACATACTGAGTACTGATAGCCACTTGATTTTTCAATGGGATGAAGTTTTAATTCACTTGTTATTGTTTGTTTGAATCTTCCCAATGTTTTTTAGGACTGCGTTCTGGATTCTACTGCTAGCCAACATCCATCTTTTTTTATAATGCTCCTGACTTAAGGCGATATCGAGGTAGTCCGCACAGGATGCATATATATCAACAAGAGACTGATTAATTGCAATCCCAAACAACAATGCGAAGATTCAAGCAAACAATATCAAGTGAATTTGATATATTTATATTATGAAGGTTTGTAGAGATGGTAATTTTAATAGTTGAATTCATGAGTCGATCTCAACAAGGACACCATTGAAAACTTGAAAGAACTAGATGACCATTTCATCTTAGTGACTAGCATCAAGATGGGTTCTCTGAAGTTCTAGTGAGAAGCTGTGACCAATGGGGAGTCCCATACCAAAACGAAATGGTCTTCCAAAGCTTCCAGATTTTCCATAGTGGTCTAACTTTAATTGACTCATGATCTAAACCCTTAAAAATACATAATATATGTTAAATAAAAACTATTCTAATCAATTAATTCATCAACAATGGAATTTCTAAGGTTTTTTTTCAACCTTCTAGATTTATCTTAATATGAAGAAAAAAACAAGAAAAAAAGATATATTACATGATTTTTTTCTAAAACTCGAGTTCGAATCCTCATTCCCTGTTGTTGTTGTTGTTGTTGTTGCTGTCAATGAATAATTTTTTAGGATTTTTTGTGAAAAGAAAAAAAAGTGAATAACGATTGAATGTTTATCGATTAATTGATTCTTTAAGATAATTCATTATTGATTAATTGATCGAATGATTGATGTTTTAATGTGCATAGATAGAGTTACATATAAACATGTATAGATATTATAAGCAAAGATGGATAGTGGCTAGCAGTGGAATCCAGTTTGACGCGTGTTTCGTCCTGTTTGGGACCTGTCAGCAGGACGTACCTGTATCTCAGAGTTGACGTTCACTCTAGGACTCAAACTGAGTACCGTTCGTTTCAAACGCGAATTGTATTATCCACTCAGCTACTGAGTCCTGATAGCTATTTGCTTGTGCAATGGGGTGAAGCTTAATTCACTTGGTATTGTCTTATTGTTTAAAAGAAAAGGAATAATATTGAAATTGACTTTTTAAGGATGTAATAAGTAGATTAAAGTTGAAAACAAAAGACTGAAAATATAAATAGAAGAAAAAAAAGAATAATCCGTATATTGTCAAAATTATTGATTAAAAGAGAACGTTTGTTAGTGTTTTCTCTAGAGATTATTGTCAACATATAAAAACTATCAGATGGGTTTTGTGGAGATTGTAGTAATTTCAATGGTTAAGATCATGAGTCAATTGAAGCTAGATCACCATGGAAAACCTAGAAGCACTGTACGGCCGTTTCGTCTTATTGAGTGACTCTTCGGCAGTTCGCACCCACGACCTCACCTCCTGCGGGGTTCGGACTCAGGACCTTCTGGTTTCGCGCGCGAGCAGTTAACCACTAGACCACTGAGCCGGCATCCAACAGTGTTCATGTGTAACTTCAACTGATCCACGAAATAGCTTCAACTGACTCATGATCTTAACTATTGAAATTACTATAATATCCACAAAACCCCTTCTGATATTAAAAAAATAACTATTCAAAATTGATATTGACCAAAATGATCAATATGATCATATGAGTTGAAAGTTATGATAATCTTTCTTATTCATCAGAGCTACAGTTGCTTCACAAAAATTTAAAAAAAAAAAAAACAATATTCAATAACTTAGGACCTTAGTAACACTACATAAACATGACTATGATTAAATCATTAGGAATGAACTCACATTTTGAACAGTATCTGATTTCCTTTTCCATTCTTCCAGTAGTAAATTACGCGCAAGTTTTTTATCATTCCATGATTTACTGTGTTGTTGTTTTTGTTTTTGTTGTTGTCGTTGTTTATTCAATTGTTCACATTGTCGTTGTGATGACAATGCTGGCGGTGGTAATTTCATAAGATTCTCTGATAATTGTCTACCATATAATTGATTAAAATTTGTATTCTGAATAAAAAAATCATTACCATTATTATTATTATTATTATTATTATTATTATTATTATTATTATTATTATTATCATACGATGAATTTAATAATTTAGTATTTTTAGTTTGTATCTCATTGAAATAACGAGTTCTTTGTTTTAATCTTAAAGCTAATGAATACCAATTCAATGTTGGATTTATATGCTTTACTCTATTGAATGATGACGATGATGGTGATGATGTTGAAGATGATCTATTGAAATAATGTGATAATTGATTTTTATTACATTGATTAATGTTATGCATATAATATGTATGATCAGATGATGATGATGATGATAATAATAATAATAATGATGATGTATTCAATGATTTTCGTCGTAATTTCACATTGATTTTATTGATTTCTTTTAATTGATCATAATGTGTATCCTTCTTAGCAATATGAGTAGTATTAGTATTGTTTGAAGATAATATAGAAGATGATGTTAACGTTTCCTGACTTGTAGTTGATAATAGAAGAGATGGTTGAGATTTTGAAATAATCAATGATGATTGCATTATACAATATTACATAATCATAATACTTGTTTGAATTCAATCAATTCAATCACTATCAAATGATGATTATCATAATGGATGATAAATAGTGATAGAAGTATACATGAATATATTCTTTCTGAGATTATTGATTATTGATCACTATTAGAAAGTATCACTATTGATTGAATTTAATCCAATATAGACTGTAAACAGCTCCAGGAATATGTCTGATCTACTTATGATGTAATAATAATAATAATAATAATCATCCAAAATTAACATATTATGTAATGATCATCATCATCATTATTAATGCACATTCATGAATAAAACATTTTTGTTACTAAGTCTATTTTGATTATGAATAAATGAATAAATAAAATGTGTATTTATTGGATAAAATTAATTTTAATGATTCTAAGTTGTAGTTCTATTCTCATTGTTTTACTCATTTCTTAGTGATATCATATGATCCAATAATAATTAGGTATATATACACTACTACTACTACTACCACTCCTACTCTTACTATTACTACTACTACTACTACTACTACTACTACTACTACTAATAATAATAATAATAATAATAATAATAATAATAATAATAATAATAAACAGATACCTTCTCTCTTTATACCTAACACAGGTATGTGTGTGTGTGTGATTTGTGTACATGCTGTCAATGTGATTAATTATGGCATTATTGTTGATGAGGTTGATGATGAACTGCTGTTCAACATCAATATTTAATGGAACATTGAAATTGTAACTCGTTTTTTTTTCTTCATAAAACAAACATTTTTTTCTGGTCATGTGTGAAATAAAATATAAACTTTATCGATGTTAGATTATTATTATTATTATTATTATTACTAATTACTTACTTACGGTTGTTACTCCTCAAAAATGAGTATAGGTCACCTACTAGCACTTGTCATTCAACCCTATCCTGAGCAATCCTTTCCAGTTGTGATTCATCCTCTTCATATTTGCTTTTATTTCCTGACGTAGTGTGTTCTTCGATCTTTCTGTTTTCCGCTTCCCTTCAGGATCCCATGTTAGAACTTGCTTCATGATTCTGTTTGGTGATTTCCATAATGTATGTCTTATCCACCAACTCCATCACCTATTCCTAATTTCCTCTTCAGTTGTAAGTTGGTTTGTTATCTCCCACAAATTATTATTATTATTATTATTGTCAACTGATGAATGAATGAATGAAGGAAAGAACTAGTGTTAATTAAAGCTACATTAAACTATTGGCTATCTTTATACTCATCAAACATGATAACATATAAGATAAAAAATGATAAGAGAGTGAAGTTAAATAGCTATTTCATCTTAAGATATTACGAATTCCTTATGAGTTCATGTTCATGATCGATTAGGTATCAATAGTTGAATACATTACTTTGTTTTTGTTTTCTTTTTGTATCCGTTAAATCTTACTTTGATCAATTATCCCATGGAAATGGAAATTTATTGATTAGTTATTGCCTAAATTTTGGTTCATAAATTTTTAAAAAAAAAACAAAAAAAAAACAGATCACGCCTTAACTACTATATGAAGAACCTTGGTTTTTAACTTTTTTTTTTTAGTAATTTTTAGTATAAGAAAAATAAAAATTAGTTGTCATCTACCATGTGACTTATTCTATTTAACTTTACATTTCATCTCAAGTTAGGTAACACGTATGATCATTGTGATTCATATCCAATTAGTTGAGATGAATAGTATTGAATTAGAATTCTATTTAGAACACGTTTTTTTTTTACATTCTGTTTAATACGGTTTGAACAATGTGTATTATCAATGTCATGACAACAATTGTAATGATCAATTATACAAGTCTTATATTATTTAGATTATATACAATGATCAAGATATACGTTTGCCAATTTAGCTATATTGATTTATAAAATTAAAATAATGAAGCATATATACTGGTATCCGAACTCATACTACGGATTACAAATTCATGCATGAAGGACAACTGACAGATGCATTCCAAGTAACGACCGAAGTCAGACAAAGCTGTGTATTCTCTCCATTCCTCTTTCGTCTGGTGATCGACTGGATTATGAAAACCTCAACATCTGAGGGAAAACACGGAATACAATGAACTGCTCACAACCAATTAGACAATTTAGACTTTGCAGATCACCTAGCCCACCCATCACATACACACGAACAAATGCAAATACAGAAAACCAGTGTAGATGCAGTCTCTGCATCAGTAGGCTTCAACATACACAAGGAGAAAACCATGGTCCTCAAATTCAAAGCGGAGAACAGCAATTCATTCACACTTGATGGCGAAACTCTGGAAGATGTAGAATCGTTCACATACCTGTGAAGAATCATCATCGATGAACAAGGAGGATCAGATGCAGACGTAAAGGAGAGGACTGGCAAGGCAAGGACAGCAATCATACAATTGAAGAAGACATGCAACTCAAAACAACAGTCTGTCAACCAATATCAAAGTCACAATCTTCAATACGAACGTCAACACAGTCAGTTCTACTGTACGAAGCTGAAACTTCGAGAACTATTACAATCATCATCAAGTAGGTACAAGTATTTGTAAATAGCTGTCTACGCAAGATACTCGACATCCATTGACCGGATACCATCAGCAACAGCCTTCTGTGGGAGAGAACAAACCAGCTTACAACTGAAGAGGAAATTAGGAATAGGTGATGGAGTTGGTGGATAAGACATACATTATGGAAATCACCAGAGTGAATCATGAAGCAAGCACTAACATGGGATCCTGAAGGGAAGCGGAAAACAGAAAGACCGAAGAATACATTACGTTGTGAAATAGAAGCAGATATGGAAAGGATGAATAACAACTGGAAAGAACTGGAAAGGATTGTCCAGGACAGTGTTGAATTGAGAATGCTTATGAGTGGCCTATACTTCTTTTTGAGGAGTAACAGGCGTAATTAAGTAAATATAGTTATCTAATAGAAGTCATATCATAAAGCTGAATCTAATTCAATGATTATTTTGGCTCTATTCATACTCTTAAAAGGAATCAATGGTATAAAATAATATTGATGATGGTTCGATAGTAGCCATATTGATACTATTTGTATCTTTTTTTAAAAATTGACTCATTAAAACTTATAAGTTAGAAACAAAATTAAAATAGAAATAATGAATGCCATATGAAATGTGGACTGGCTCAAACTGGTTTATTTACAAAAATTCTATTTCTTATTCTAATTAGTCTACTTTGAATATAGTTTTTCTGATATAAAAATAAACAATATAAGCAAAGATGGTTAGTGGCTAGCAGTGGAATCCGGTTTGATGTGCGTTTTGTCATATTTGTGAGCCGTCAGCTGGATGGACCTGCACCTCAGAGTTGATGTTCATTCTGAGACTCGAATCCAGTATCATTAACTTCAAACGCGAATTGTATTATCCCAATGCCCCTTCTAACAACCAGAGCGATAATACTAACGCGGGTACATGGAATGTCTGGACAATGTACGAAACCGGAACGACTAGTCAAATAGTTGAGGAAATAAGGAGACACAACTTGGTGGTGTTCAGAATAAGTGAAACCCATTGGACCTAGGCTGGGCAGAAGAGATTAGCATACGAAAAGAGCTATTATACTCTGGTCACGAAGAAGAAAATGCTTCACACAAAAAAGAATTTGCATTGACGATGTCTCAGAAAGCACAACGAGCATCTATAGAACAGGAATCTCATGGAAATCACAATGAATGTTATCCTGTGTTATACACACACCAATGATAGCAACGACGACGATAAAGATAAGTTTTACGAGAGGCTGCAATCGATCACAGTGAAGTGCTCAGGGGAGGGACTGACCATTCTGATGGGGGACCTATACATCAAAGTTGGAATGGAGGACATCGGATATGAAGACACCAAGGTAAGATGTGGACTGAATGGGAGGAAGAAATGGAAATGGTAAGAAATTTGCAAATTTATGTGCATTCAACAAAATTTTTATGAGTGGCATTATATTCCCCAACGAATGCATAAACAAAACTACATAGATTTCACTGGATTACAGTACAGAGAACCAGGTCGATCAGATTTCCATCAATAAAATAATCAGAAGGTCAATGGAAGACGTGAGAATCAGGAGAAGAAATGACACAGCTCCAGATTCTCATCTGGTCTTGATCGTGTACAGACTACGGATTTTCATTGAACAATCAATTGAATGTAATTCGTCGCTATACATCAACTTCCTTGATTATTATAAAGCATTTGACAGTGTGTATAGGAGAACATTATGGAAATTTCGATACTATGGTGTACCTGAGGAAATAGTCAATACCATATAGAATTAATACGATGGACTGCATAGCAAAGTAATTCATAGAGGACAGCTGGCACATACATTCGAAGTGTGGACCGGATTCAGACAAGTCTACATATTCTCCGTCTTCCACATTCTTCTGGTGGTTAACTGCACTATGAATACCTCAAAATCTGAATAGAGGAATGGAATACAACAGACAACTTCCATGCAAATATAAGATTTGAACTTCACAGATGACCTGACTGTCCCATACACACGAACAAATGCAAATGAAGAAAACTAGTGTAGTAGCAACCTCTGCATCAGTAGACCTCAGTATACACAAAGGAAAAAACAAGACCCTCAAATACAACACGGAAAACACCAATCCAATCACACTATATCGAGAAACTCTAGAGGAGGTGGAAACGTTCACGTATTTAGGGAGCAGCATCATCAATGAACATGGAGGATCGGATGCGCGCGTAAAGGCGAGGGTTGTCAAATTAAGGATCTCAGTCCTATAGTTAAACAACCAATATCAAAGTCATGATCTTCAACATGAACGTCAAACTGGTTAGTTCTTCTGTAAGGAACTGTAACTTGAAGAACTACTACAACCATCCTCAAAAATGTACAAGTATTTATAAACAATTGTCTATACAAGATAATCAATGTCCTTTGTTGACCGGATACCACCAGCAACAGCCTTCTGAGGGAGAGAACAAACCAGCTTACCAGTGAAGAGGAAAGTAGGAGACGTTGGAAGTAGATAGGACATACATATGGGAAATCATCAAATTGAATATTTTGTGATTGTATACTTATTCTAAATTGTCATTTTATCTAGTTTGTCAGTCCGATAATCGTAAATTGGAAAGCTACTTACTAGTCGTTTTAAGTAGTATAACGTTTCAAATAAAATTTGTCAGGAGACAATTATGAATATCATTTATGTAATAAACACTTTTCTTAAAAAAATGACATGTAGGGATACATAAGGTCAGGCTGAGAAGAGACACAAAATCGTTATATTTAAAATACTGACTTGTTGTTCACAAGTGAAAACTAGGATTTATGTATGTGTTGAGTGGAACTCCAGCCTTTTAAAGCATGGGATAGATACTCAAGATTTATAAGAGTTGAGATCTGAGTTTTGATTCACTGATGTCCATACATGTAAAAGTGATTCTTTACATATGATAGATCTTTTAAAAAAACTGAATATTCCCTATGTATGTTCAGATCGTGAAAGCTAACCTGTCTGAGACGAGTAAAATTCAATTAGTGTTATGTTCCTTAGGGTTATAGTCAGACCACAGATCACTTAGTTACATCTGAAGATCATGAATAGTTTCCTTGAAGTCAAAATAATGTGGTGCAGTTTGGAAATCTAACTGCGATCCTGTCAATATTAAATTTTCTGAAGGTTATGAACATTCAGATTGCAGTGCTGATATCTGGTAAATATATACGGCGATAGATTACAGAAAAACCAGTCGTGTCGAGTGTATGGAAATGAACATAGGTAATCTTCTAAGGTTTAAAAGTCAGCAGATGAAGTTTGGTTCCAAACACCATTAACGAGGATTTTAATATAAACTACGGTTTGGTAGGCAATAATGGATAGTCGATACTAGGCCCTATTCGACATAGGTTTCGTGACATCTAGAATTCGCATGGAAGGGACACCTTTAATACTGAGGGAATCAATGCTTCCTATGTGGTGAAAACCTGCGTCACTCAGTTTCAAAGCCTGAGATGTTACCCTTGTACAAATCTGATAGCGAGTGATATCCTGTAGAGGGATAAAATATTTCGAATGATCACTGAGTAGTAACTAATTTAGTTTGTCTATCTAAGGGTTTCCTGTTGACTACTTTCAACCAACTAACATCGCAACATAGTGCATGCGATGTTCAGTCAATCAAATTCATCGTCACATTGCAAGGTCACAAATAGAATTCAACTATTACTACGGAGTCAGATAAACATGATATTGATCATTACTTGGTGATCAATAAATTGTTAAGTGCTGTGTCCTTAAAATAATCTTAAATTATCTGAAGGGGTTAGTAATTTTAATAGTTAAGATTATGAGCCAATTAAAGCTAGACCACCATGGAAAACCTGGAAGTACTGTACGGCCCTTTCGTCCCATTGTTGAACTCTTCATATAGGCGCATTCACGATAACGCCTCACGAGATTCAAACACAAGACCTATCAGTCTCGCGAGCTTAACCATCAGACCGCTGAGCCGGCATTCAATTGTGTCAATGTCAAACTTCAATTAATCCACGAAATCGAGCGATACATTCATCATTGCCTTCACTGAGTTACTACTTCACAACAGACCTGGTTGAACTCCACTGGTTAATGCTTCTCATTAGAACTCCAAGAAGCCAGTCACTACTAAGCATATGTTGATTAATATCAGAAGGGGCGTTTTTGGATATTATAGTGATTTCAATAGTTTAGTTCATGAGTCAATTGAAGCTAGGTCCTGGGTTCGAATCTCGAGGGGGGATCGTGGATGCGCACTGCTAAAGGATCGCAGTCAGTCAGTCAGTCAGTAACAACGTAGAACTTTGTACGTACGTACATCAGTTCGAGTTGCCACACCACATTAGCACAGAGATGCAGTGGTCGATTCAAATCCCGTAGTGGTAGAGGTAATAAGAGTATAAGCAGTAATCAGGAAAATTAGTGTTTTGAGATGTTATTTAAAGAGTATAATCCAGTGAAATAAATTTGGGAAGAGAAAAAAAGAGACAAAGAGGAATCAGGAGATTAGAATTTGGGAGAACACAAAGAGTGGATGCACCTGCGGCATTGCAAACGATTTTGAGCCATGTCATTCAGGGTCTATAACCATCGGTTGCTATCATCTCGTGGTCCCCAACCAAGTAGTCTACACCTACCAATATGACTCAGTCCACTTGTCAGTGACTTCATGGATTTGTGCCATGTTTTGGTCTGGCCGCCCCTAGCTTTCTTCCATCCTACTCCTATACCACTGCACATCGCACGTCGAGGCAGTCGGTCGTTGGGCATATGTAACACGTGTCCAAGCCATCTCAACTGATGAAGTTTCACTACGTCATCAATTGATTTGCCATCCTTACCTAGTACCCGTTTCCTAACAACTGCATTACTTACTCCATGGTCCCACGATATACGAGCACCTATGATCAAATACTAGTAACCTACGGATATCCTCTACTCTTACCGGCCATGTTTCACTGCCATAAAGTAGGACGGGACGAACTGCTGCGCAGTAAACACGTCTTTTGGTTGATAGACGGATATCTCGCCTACGCCATAAATGACGCAAGTTGGTAAAAGCTAGTTGAGCCTTCTGTATCCGTGCTGAGATTTCGTCACACACTAGACCACAAGGGCTGATGAGACTTTTGAGATAAGTGAAGCGATCGATACGCTCAATTACTTCACTCCCTATCACTAGTTCGGGTGTCAATGCAACCCAATCCTGAAGTAACATTTTGCATTTCGAGGGGAAGAATCGCATCCTGACGGGATCCCACAGTAGAACAAAACCGCCGTCCAGTGCTTTCAGGTTTTCCATAGTGGTCTAACTTTAATCATCTCAACTACTGAAATTATCTCAGATTTGATAGTCTTAGACTACTACTTCTACATGAAGATGCAAAGAGAATTGAATGAGATAAAGAGTTTTCAGGTTTATTTCTACACAACATCACTTATCTATACTTTCTAGTCGAAAAAAATTGATTAAATCAATGAATAAAGCACACAAAAAAGTGAATACGTTAGATAAATAAATAGGTATTTATTGCATCACAGTGTGTATGCTGCATAAATATACACAAAAAGAGGAATAGAATAACCCCCATTGTAAACAAAAATTATATCACGTAAAATATTGGTTTTAAAGTGTAGATTTAAAAGAAGAAAAAGAAAGAAAGAAAGAAAGAAAGAAAGAGAGATTAGACAGATGAATCGATTATTCTATAATCAACTTTTCACATCTTTTTATTGTTTCTTTTTTTTTGCTTTGTTACATATAATAGATAGAAACCAATAATTACCATGCATACAAAGATAATTGATTAAGGATCAATGAATGATGATTAAAAAATATACATCATAATATGAAATGTTGAATATAAATGAAATAAGCTCATAATAGATAAAACATTGAGAAATGAGCTTGTTAATTTTAAAATATAAAACTGAAAAGGATTAATATCCACAGGATAAAGAATGCTGATAGCAAGTTTATACTCCCCTCCCATAATAAGTAACAGATGTAAATAGTATCCAAGTCAATAGTTACCATTCTAAATAGTATAATATGTGATCATTTTAAATAGTAAAAATTTTATTTTATTTTTTAAAAAACAGACCTTTATTCAACAGGATGTTTGTTTGTTTTTTCTACTTTTTTTACTTCAATTAAACAATCCATCTCAACAACAACAACAACAAAAAAAGGAGAGAAGAAATAAGAAAACAAACAGACAAAACAGAGACAAACAAAAAAACTTGATCAAATTTGGTTTTTTTTTCTTGATTTTTTTTTACTGTCACATTATCCATTCACAATTATGCATCATAATATGACAAAATAGAAATTAAAAAAATTTTCTTCTTCTTTTTCAGAAAAAAAAAGAAAACAAGCAAAATTATTTACAAAAAGTTACCAGGGCAACTGGTTTTTTATAATAAAAAAAGAAAAAAAAATTAAAAGATAATAAAATGTAAAAATCAAGTACAAGGGTACATGTAATACAAATTATTGATCTGGATGTTCGTCATTGGTTTTGAAATGATTAAAACATACACACACACACGCAGAGAGAGAGAGAGAGAAACGCACACACGCGTGCACATTGATGACTATTTGTTATTCTTTATGGTTTCCTCATTCAATGATGTAATACAGATAAATATCTATGATGATTAATGATTATATATTATGAAAGAAATTAAAAAGAACTTTGATTAGTTCCATCATCATTTGACATTGATGGTAATACAGAAGAAAGATAATGTCCAATATTAATTGGATCTTCAAATTGATTTGAATCAACAATTCCACCTGTTTGTCGAATATCTATTACTGTACTTTGACGTTGAACATTACCTGATGGACATGCACCAGCTGCTGTTACAACAAATCTATGCTTTAAAAGATTTTCTAAAGAAGGTCGATCACTAGCTGGACGTCGAAGACATGAATCAACTAAATCGATAAAATCATCAGAGAAGCAAAATTTTGGTAAACGAGGTGGTGGTTGATCTACAATATAGGATAAAAGTTCAAATATTGCCATTGGACCGGAACTTGGACTGTTGACAGCTATAGTTGAAAAAAATAAAACAAAATGATTAAGACGCTGGACATACACACTGATATATCATTATTAGTGAAGGTTTAAATTATTCCATTATTGGAATTCAAGAATGCAGTTCGATTGGCTTGTATCTGCCTAATATTAAAGCGACAAGCATTGGGTTCAAATCCCAACGTGGTAAACATCAACAATGAGGTTTAGCTACATCCAGCTGATGAGTTTCAAATAGGACGAAGCCGGAGTTATACCTATAGATATTGCTGACTTCATTGTCCACTTTTAGACAGTTTTTGAGAACGAGGGAGTGTTGTACAACTGTTTCATCGTAGTATGAGACTTCTCATGAATGTGGATGTACTAAGCTCATCTGAGATTGATTCAAGTATTCAACAATTTTCGAATTCAATCGAAACGCGATATTAACCTATTATCATCCAATGACATCAGTGATATATCGCTTTTTCATCACGTAGTCGAAATCCACCAGTCTCAATACCTTTCATTTGATCATCAAAAATAGATAACTAATTTGTAACAAAACAGGTTATCTCTATAGATTTTTCCATATACATAGCTCATTTGACTTTGGCTTAAATTTTGAGTGACATGAAAACTCACTGTTAATTTGTCAATTAACTGATTACACGAAGCTAATTTATTTAATGTCGTCAGAATAAAATGAAAACATCTAAGAAAGTGAACTATAAATCACGAGCGAAATTCAATCAGTGTTATTTAGTTGCTGATTTTACTAACACTTCTATTAATGTTATAAGTATGGGATGTACGTTTATGAATCGGTTGCATAGTATAACCCTGGTAATCTACCAACATCGGTTTTGCCAACCTCTTGGAACTATTACCTATCTCTCTCTCCCTCTCCTTTCAAAAAGGTATAACCCATGAGTTAATACATGTATACGATAAATAAGTTATGCTATGATTGTCAGTCCCAGGTAACCTAAGAGTTGACACAAATATACATTGACTGAAGTTGCTACATGAAATCGGTACAATGAGATGAAATTATTAATATGTATACAGAGTTAGTAGTAGCACTAGACTTTAAAAAAAAAACAATAGGGTACAAGGAATATTATTCGAAAAGAAATGGTGAATTCACAAAATAACAAGTTTCAAGTACTTTCGAAACTTTCGATCTAGGGACACATAAAGAGTAAGTAAATTTAGACTATGATGACAGATTCTCAGCTATGCTACTCAAAGTTACAATAATCACGCGGACCCCAACCAGGTAGTCTGCACCTATCTACATCGTTCAGTTCGATTGTCAATAACTTCGGGGATTGATGCTACTCTTTAACTTGACCGTCCGTAGCATTCCTCCAATATACTGCTACGTCAGACAGTATTTCACGTTGAGGTAGGTGGTTGAGTATATGTTGATAGTGGTTAACATTACCGATCGACTATACACCTTCGCTAAGCACTCTAAGCTTAACCTTAACACTATACGAGTGGTCGCTCCATAATAACGCAACAATGCTTCGAAGACGTTAATCATCTAAAAGCTTCTAATCTAATAAAGTATTTTTCACACCCATAGAATAATACAGAGCAGACTACTGAGAGGTATACTCGCCACATAGCTTGCAGATTAAAAGCTCGCCAACGCTATAAGCAACGTAAGTTGGCGAAATCCACGAGAAGTATTTAAATCCATGTTGAAATTTTGTCAGGGACCAAATCATCAGAGTTAAAGTGGCCTATTTATATCACGAACCAATCTAAATCAGACAACTATCAAAATCCAGGGATTACTAAGCAACCATCTCGACCTGGTGGGCGACTCCTCAGAAGGGCGCATCCACGAACCCACTCTTGAAGCTAAGAATATTTTAGAACGAAGTCGTCGCTAATGGTGTCCAAATATGTAAGATGTGGGGAAAGCACTCACTGAAGACAGTGGAAGATGGCTGTACAATATTGCGAACTAATCGAAGCTAAAATTACACACTATTGGATGCCAGCTCAGTGGTGCAGAGATTAAGGGATCATGGATGAAACTGGATGTCCTGGGCTCGATTCCCGCTCGTGTGGTTGTGGATGAGCACTGTTGAGAGGTCTCGCATTCGGACGGGACAGCTGTCTAGTGCTTTAAGGTGTTCAGTGGGTGTTTAATTTGGATTGGTTCATGATCTCAATAAAATTCAACAATCTAAACAACTTTCACATCGATGAGTGAACTGGCTAATGTATTCAACTGTTTCACTCGCTACCAATAATTTAAGCATAATTCAGGCTCCTTTCAGTATTCAAATTACTGATAAAAGTTGAATTTATAAATCTGTGCTTGAGAAATTGAGTTACAGCCTATACATTGCTATATTGGTCTAACAAAATAATTTCAAAATAAATAAGTAATTTCTTACCAGGAAGTGGCTTCCCTTCTTTAGCTGCTTCTAAATGTTGTTCCAAGTTTACATCTCGATGTGAACTGAAAGCGCTTAAATAAACGTTTTCATCTTCAATCGCTGGAATCGGGTATCGACCAGTTGCCAGTTCAACTAATGACAAACCCAAACTCCATACATCACTTAATGTATTGTATTGTTCACCTGTTAAACGTTCCGGTGCCATGTAACTTCTTGTGCCAACAAATGAATTAGCCAAAGAATCGATCAGTTGACCACTTACACCGAAATCGCATAATTTCACATCACCTGTACGATTTACAAGGATGTTGGATGGTTTGACGTCTCTGAAAAAGTCGTCAGCAAATTAACGTGGTACGAAAATGACTCAACTCGATTTTAAACTACTTGACAAAATTATTAAGTAGTAAAACGAATCATTATTAGAATAAAAATGGAAGGTGGAAGAAGTTAGTCAATGAATTTCAACTACACTGAATATGTAAATATGAGAAATGAAGTTTAGAAGTGATAATCAAACGAAATTGAAGTGTGAAATGTTAGGAAGTAAATATCTAGGAAAAAATATAGGATAAATGAAACTGCTCGACTGTGACAGAATTCGAGCCATGTTACACAATGCATCCAACCATGGATTCTAGAAATCATGTGGTTCGTTATCAGGATGTCTATATTTCCTAACGTAGCTCGGGCCACGAGCGAATGAGTTTATATCGCCATTTCCTCAAATAAATCATCTATGCGATCAAGCAGTGAACGTCATGGTTGGTTGTGGTCAAATACAGTATTTTTGGAAACATTTCCTTTAATGCAAAGAAATATCAACAGTTAGTTGTTAATTAATTGTTCATTGTTTTTTGATAGCAACATTTCTGAAATAGATCAACAATTTGACACCAGTGCTTTGGCATTCCAGGATCAATTATCGTATGGATGAAGGAAATGCGATTACTGTAACACAAACTTGAAACGTTTTGCATGGAATTTGAGTGCCAAGGAAGTCACTTTTGGTTAGCGGACCTAGTGTTGCATGATGAAGAGGGTAACTTTATACTCACAAGAAACCAACAAAGGCATTGGTTGATACAGACAGGAGGGTGGTAGGGATGAAAGTCAGAAGCCGTTAGACTGTTTAACAACTCATTTGTCAAATCGACTAGCCCTGAAAAGCGATGATGATCACAAATCAAACCGATATCCGGCTTCTGATCCGATACTGTATAATATCAAGCTGAAATTGAACTAGGCATAGAGTAACAAAAACAAGTAGGATATTCACTTTTGATAGCAGGGGATTTCAAGCACAAGCCATATAGATACACCTTAGCATTGACAGCAAATACTGAAGGAATAATGCTTCACTATAGAAATAACAGAATCTTTTGATTTACTACTAACAAAAATGTATAAAAACGTATCGTAGAATGGAATTAATCTACAGAGAGCACAGTTTCTTCCACGTTATCATTATCGAATATTCACTAATTGGAAAAGGGATGTCATTAATCGATAGTTTCAGTCCAGATACTTGAATCCCTTTATTAAAACTACTTTTTCTTAAAAAAAATCAATTCAAATATTCCAGTTCACTTCCTCTCTCGCTATCTAAATGAAGTGTTTTTTTCTAACTAGAGTTGAAAAACTGTCATATTTATAGATGCTTATTTCTAGAAAGAAACCTTCAATTTAAGGAAAAAAAACAATGAAAGGATGAAGTTATTGCTCGAAAATGCCCTGGTAAGGACGAGGGTGGGGAGAGTCAGCTCTCCGTCTCGAAATACTCTCACATGGCCACTTGCACACAATCACTACCATGGAAGTTCTAATCACTACCACCTTGTGGCGGAGGTGTCGTTTACGAAATTGAGAGGACGAAAAACGAAAGTTCGGCACTTTAACTGGGTTGGTGAACACGAAGAGTTCACCTAGGGGAGTTGGAAGATCCTGATTCCAAATTAATGCTGCACATGGGCTACAGGATCCTGAAGGAACCAATTGTTGGTCATCCGCTACAATGGGACTGCATCTCCTAATGTTGCTCCACCGCCCTATGGATCAGACCTTTATTTCGAAGGTTCCGGGTGTGGCCTCCTAAGAAAACTACCTGCTTCGATCTGGATACCCAGGCAGTATCACAGCCCACACACAAATCAAGTGACTTTTGTGATGCATATGTATTCGGTGCCCCTTTCTGTCAATATTTATGTGTTCAAATAAATAAATTGAAGAGGTAATCAAAACATGATCAATATAAGAAAGGAACAACAAAATATTTAGTAGCACAGTATTATAATAAATGATTATGCTTGTTTTGTTTTATTGAACAATGTTTTTAAACTTTAAAATTTTTTTGTGTTTTTCAATGTTTTGTTTATTAATGTAAACTATTTCCAAAAAGGAAACTCTATACTCAAATGAAATGAAACAGGGAACTACTACCACTACTACTAAGCAACCACACAAGAACATAATAACAAAAATATTTTGTTACATGTTAACTTGTAGATTAGAAGCACTTTGTTGGTGATTTCATTAATAGTATTTCCATTAAGATTGGCAACGACAACAACTCAAGATGTGTGCGTGTGTGTAATAGAATAGAGGCTTCAGCAGTACATTTCTAAATTCCACTTATTTTAAGCTTCTAGTGGACCTATTAAGTAGTGTGATATGTTTTATTGTTGTTTAATTAATACTACTAAGTAAATATAGCATATTGATTGATGAAGTAGTAAATATTCATCAATTGAAGTGGTTCCTGTGTTACGTATGCCTCACTACCGCCTACTTCGCTTGGGATATTGTCTGGATGTAAGAATAGGCAGCAAGAAAGCTAGAAACGGTCAAACCAAGATATGAGATCAGTCCATTAAGTTACTGACAATTAGACTGAGCCACGTTAATAGATGGTTTGAATTATTTTTTTTCTGTTTAGCGTTTTTTATCGAGTTAGGATAGGAAACACACTGAGGAAAGCACCGAATCTCGTCACAAGACAAGCCCTCACATGGAATCCTCAAGGCCAAAGGAGAAGAGGAAGATCAAAGAACACATTACGCCGAGAAATGGAGATAGACATGAGAACAATGAACAACAATTGGATAGAACTAGAAAGGAAGACCCAAAACAGAGTGGATAGGAGAATGCTGGTCGGCGGCCTATGCTCCATTGGGAGTAACAGGCGTAAGTAAAAAGTAAGTAAATGTTAATACATGTGGACTCCTTGGTTCTCGTAACCAACGGTTAGAGACTCTATATGAAATAGCTCAAAATCGTTTGCAATAGCGCAAGTGTGTTTCCCCTTTGTTTTCCTTCTGAATCTGAATCCTGAAAACTTCTTGCACTTCTTCGTTTTTAAGTGCCTAAATTTTTCTAATACTATTAATAGTATTAATGATATTGGTACTGCTCATACTTTTCCGTGATTTGTCTCGAAACAGTTTTATCGCTTTGTGCTATTGTGGCATGGTAACTTGAATCGATGCACATGTGTTAAGTTGTACGCTGCGTATGACTGATTGACTGACCGAATTATGGCTAATTAATTAGGTACTGTCTGCTCTATTTTCTGGCACTGATTGCACGATTGTATAGAAAGTGTTATTTGACATTTGGGGTGCATTAAGGTCTGGTAATCTATGTATATAGAGAGCTAATGAGCGTTTGAGTTACATGCTAGGTAATTGAAATATAGAGTTCTCTACCGGGGTCAGGGCCGAGGCATAGAGAAAGGTGTGGATACGGGTGGACCAATAGAAGAGAAGCTCAAAGATAACTGAGTCTATCAGAACGTATCAATGTTAAAGGATATGGACGAAATAACAGAAGTGAGGTAGCAAAAGTTATGATCGGGAATCTGGATTGGTGAATTTATCTAACGATATTGATTAAGGTCAGAGACACAATAAACGGAGTAAATTGTCATTAGAATATTAAAGATTCCCATTGTGAAAATTAGAATAACACATGTAAGCGAACAATATTGTTTTCAATTAGATCGTCATCAGGCTTTACTCTAATATACATGAATATTTATACGAAAATTTTAAACCAATCAAGGCAATATGGGTCAATCATCACAATGAAATTGAATAAGTCTCTACACATAATAGGTAAAAGTACATGTTGATAGTACGAAGACAGGTGAACAGATAGTGGTAAGAATAATAAACTACAATAACAAACTCTTATCAATAGTTAATCGTTGGAAATAGAAGTTCAAGTAAACATGGGTAAATACACTAGGAATAGTAATCACAAAACCTTAAAAATCATTACGTAATAAGATGTGTGAGTAAATAATTAGATAGTGAAGAATACAAAGAGGCGGATAATGACAAACAAATAATGGATGTGGAAATAAGGTTAACAATAACACAGATAGAATAAAATAAATAATGATAATAATAAAATTTAAAATAAAAAATAAGAAAATAAAAATTGTTAGTTAAGTTATAACTGGCCATGGAAGGGATAGAGGGGTCACGTATTTCTTCTGTACACATAGATTGGGGTTATATGTACGAATTCCAATGGCTTCAGCTATATATAGGAGACGGGAATGGACTCCGTCGGGATATGATGGAGGTATACGATAGATAACTCGAAATGATTTCGATTTCTCTACTGCATGACCGCTATCAATAAGATGTGCTAGTATAGAACTGCGAATAGTTTTTCTCTGACCCTTTATGTACCAAGTTGGTAGATGTTCACTCATTCGTTGGTTAAGTTGCCTGGTAGTACGCCCTATATAGCTATCTCCACAGGACCAGCTGAATTTGTAAATGCACATGGAAGAGGCCAACTCAGGTAACTTATCCTTCGTTTGAGTAGACATCGCTGGTCGACAAGAGAAGGTCAACGCAAGATTGGCTGCGTAGAATGTCTTGGTGATTACTTTGGTTAACCTATATTTCAGAGTGTCACTAGCCACATCCCCGTTGAATTGCACTTTCATGTATAAAGGTTTCTTACGAACAGTCGAAATCTCCGACTTCTTTATTATATCCTGCATGTATTTCTTGATGAACGCGCTGGGGTAGCCGATCTCGGTCAGTGAGTTCTTGAGAAATTCAAGCTCCTGACTTAGAGTGTCTACTGTACAGATCTTTTTTGCTCTGCTCGTGAGACATCTGACCAAATTCCTCTTGTACCGGACGGGTGTGAAACTGCAGAAGTGAGTATATTGGCATGAAGAGGGGTTTCTTCTATACACGCTTCTACTTAATGTGCCGTCACTTCGTCTGCTTAGCGTGACGTCAAGGAAGCTCAGCTTCTTATCATGCTCGCTTTCACCAGTGAAGGTGATCGCTGGGTGAACACT